TTGGTGACTCCTAAAATGCTGCAGGCTGCGTTTTTTGTTGGAGCTTTAACTTTTGTTTGACTTGCTTTGTTTTTTATAGTGAACAGAATGCTTACTTCAGGTTCTTTCCTAAAACAAACATAACAAGAAATTTTACTTTATTTTATTTTTTTTTGCAGTTTTTTTTTTTTTAAATAACAAGAAATTTTAATCTGTCGCTGCTGTTGTATGTCGATTGTATAAAATGCCTCAGACTTTGAGAGAAATTGTGCCAGCTAAGACCCGTTTTCCCTAGGTTGTAGTTGTGATTCTTGCCCCGTAGGTGCCATTTCTAACGCCAGTTACTTCAAAAGGTCATTTCTCTTATCTAAATAAAAATAGTGGTGTGAAGACTGTGGAAATGATGTAAAACCACAAATAGGTCCCAGAACCCTGGCTTAGAGCTGTAAAGTTTCTTGAGTTAATTTGACTCATGCCAGAGGACCCTTTTGTTTTTAGCGAGGCCTATAGAAAAGGTTGCGAGTAATCAAAGTTACAGATTTTCTTTGACTTTGTAATTCTTTTTTTTTACGTAACTGGGATTTCCTAGGTAATAACCACACTGGGTATTTCAGCTGAACACAAAGAGTTATAATTTGTCTTTTAAGATAACTGGAAACTTGAATTTGATTTTTTTAAAAAAATTGTAATCATTCTGTGCCACTTACAGCTTCTAAAATGATATTGTTTGCGACACATCCTGTGTGGCTATTTGATGCTGGGTACATAAAATGACCCTCCTGAAGTCAAACCTGAAATGTGTGCGCTCCGATATCTAGATGGTTGCTTCTTCGTGGAACGGGCTGCTCTTTAGAGCTGGGAGTCAGAATTTCCTTTTGTTGACATGAACGTGCTCCTTGATCAGAGCTGTAGCTGAAGGACGCATGCTCCTGGCCATCAGTCTGTGGGGGAGGTGGGGTGGGGACCACCGAGATGAAGAGTGTATGTACCTTTGTGCCAGGAGAGCCATTACATGGCCGCTCTTCAAAGGGGGGCAAGCTCTTCTCCCCAATTCTTGTCTCATTGGACTCCGAGTTCTAAAACTTGAATGCACTTAGAGTGTCCGAATGTAGCGCGTGCTGCAATCTACCACTGACGGGTTGATGGCCGCCTTTGCTGGCCTCACAGGTAATACTGTCACTTGTGCTTCGAGTCACAGACTTGATTGCCCTCATTCCTGTTGAAAAAAGACACCCTGTGGAATTAAGTCTCTCTCTTTTTTTGTTTTATTAAAGCCTCATGTCACGTAAGTGCAGAATACTCGCTTATTTTTGTTTAAAATACTACCTAGAGTGACATGATCCGCATTTGTATTTTGCAACTTGCTTACCTGGGAGTGGGAGTTGGGACTTGACATGCAGTATGAAGTCGCCTATGTACATTTTGCCTATTGGAATGGTGTGATGAGGAAGTCTGAAATGTTTATCAAAATAAAGCTGACAGTTTTTCTTACACTGGATAAAACTGGTTGCTATTACCATGTTCTGCTATGTCTCTTTCATCACGATTTATGTTCTTGTTATTGAAATAGAGTTTTAAAAAAGATTTTTAAAATATGGTTTATTGATTTCAGAGAGAGGAAGGGAGAGGGATAGAAACATTGATGAGAGAGGATCGAGCCCGCCCGGACTGGGACCTCTTGGTGCACAGGACTAGGCTCAATCTACTGAACTGCGGGAGTTTTTTTATTTTTTAAGGAAATAAAAATTGGCCCTGGCCAGTTTGGCTCAGTGGATACAGCATCAGACTGCAGACTGAAGGGTCCCAGGTTCAGGGGCATATGCCAGGGTTGTGGGCTCGATGCCCAGTAGCAGGGTGTGCTGGAGGCAGGCAATGATTCTCTCATCGATGTTTCTGTCTCTCCCTCTGAAATCCTCTCTGACAGCAATAAAAATATATTTAAAAAAGAAGAAGAAGAAGGGACCTGGGGACACCTCAGGGCTGCCATCTTCCTTCCTCCCTCCCTTCCTTCCCCTCACCTGAGGATATTTTCCCATTGATTTTTAGAGAGAGTGGAAGGAAGGTGGGAAGAGAGAGAAACATTCATGTGAGAGACACATAGATGATTGCCTCCCACCAGCACTCCTCCCGGTTCATAGGTCGGCGCTCAACCACTGAGCCACACCGGCCGGGCTGGGTTTTTACTTGCAAATTTGGTGATGTCCATGTGACCAGAAATATGCGACAGGACTTAACGCTTGTTTGCATCAACTAGCCTGTGGTGACACTGGTTTCATTAAATGTTTCACTTGAAGTCGCCATTTCCAAGAACCTCCCGACTACGTCCGGTGGGGACTCACCGTATCTCTGTGGACCGTGTCCTTGTTTGGGGTGAGAAATGCCAGTGACACGCGTCCCGTGGCTCTCCCAGCCACAGCCTCTAGTGCGATGTCGCGCTAAGTCAGAAATCTGTAGAAGTTAGCACGGGTGCGGGTGCGGGTGAGTGACAGGCGCTGGGCTTTGTTTTCCAACATGTTTCCAAAAGGTTATTTTATTTTAAAACACACAGAGTTGATACAAATGCCTTTTAAGTCCTGTGGTGGGTGGAGATGCCGCCCGAGGCTGTAAGCGGTGCCCTTCCTCCCGCGGAGCCTCGGTCTGGGTCCTGGGAGGAGGAGAGAGGCTCTTGCTTCACGCCATTGGCTGTAAGAGTCCTTGGATGACAGTAACTGTACGGCCACAGTCCCACAGCTGCTTGGCAGTCATTAAAGTTTTGCAGTTACTGGTTTTCCTACTGGCGTCTTACAATCTGCGGAAGAAAGAGACAGCTCATGACGTGACACTGAGTTGATGCTCATGCGATGTTTCAGCCACAGGCAGAGAGAAACAGCTGCCACTGTGCAGTTTACAGGCGGGCTGGGGCCCTGGCCCGAGGGGATTAGTGCCCTATGAGGAGAGACACCGGAGAGCTTGCTCTTCCATGCGCAGAAGAGGCCTTGTGAGCACACGGGCCTGTGCAGAAGCAGCGTCATTGCAGAGAGGGGTGGGCACAGCCAGCGCCCTGGGCCAGGGCAGAGGCAGGAGGTGAACCCGGGCACGTTTCCTGAACTTCCAGTCCACTACGGCCTCACCCATAGGACACTGGCTTCCGTCATAAGAAATCAATCCCATCGCCTCGCAACACGAGGTCTGTGTCAGTTATCTGCCCCTCTTACCCTCTGCCCTCTGCTGCCCCCTCTCCTTTCACCACATGCCCATCCTGCCTTCCCCTCATCCCAACAGGCACCACGAAAGCTCCTCCCCGCGGGTTTGACTAAGGTACCAAATAGGCTCGGGCGCAAAACGACAACTGGAAGAATCCTACTCCGTGACCAGAGCGTTGGTCAATGTCGTCAGTTTTTTCAAATGCTGACATCGCCCGTCCTAACACTACCCGTCACTCCTATGAGCAGTGTCCTCTCCCTGCCCCGGCCTTGATCTCTGCTTAGGTCCCTCTACTCTTCCTGGAGCCCCTACACGCCCTGCCTTCCTGGCGGGACCACTTCTCTGTGAGCTGATAGACCTGCTGAAGGGTAAGGGTTGGGTGACTCTCCAAGGATCAGAGAGGTGCGTGCTCGACGCCCAATGCCAGATGCAAAGGGTCCAGATCCCGGACCGAGCGGGCAGGCGGGGGCTGACCACCTTCTACGTCTGAGCTGCCTCGTTCACACTTGTGTTTTCTCTGGTCATTTTCCTCGCACTTTCTCCTTAGTCTCCGTGAGAAAATTCTAGGTGACATAATAGTTCCCTGTGTATATTAAGACTCAACTGTCCACTTTGGTACGTGTCCGTGCCGCAGCACACTTCCTTGTTTCACTCTGTGTGGGCAAACGTCACGCGGAAGCCGATTGCACTTCATTGAATGTACTCACCAAGCATTTCTTGTAGCTTTGCTGCGGCGGCTTCGTTCACATTAAATACACAGTCGTTATTTCTAAGAGAAAAAGGAACAGCTCTTACTGCATAGACTGGGGGGAACTGCCACCTTCACTAGACACATAGTAGGACTATCTTCTCTACATAGTAGGACTCTCTCTCTGTTAAAATACATTTTTTATTGTGGCCAGTGTTACAGGTATCTCCCATTTCCTCCCTTTCCCCCTTGCACCCAGCCCCCAGATCTTTGCCACCTACGCCGTGTCCATGGCTGTGCATATATATAAGGTCTTTGGTTTATCTCCTCTCGTCCAGCAAGGCTGCCTTTAAACAGTTTCCTGAAGGTCAATGTTAAGCAGCTGGAAGGCTCCCTGCTCCTTCCTGTCCTCCCTGGCTTCTGCTTCCTCCTCCGGCCACTTGAGAGACACGCTGGGAGAGCTGACCCCTAAGCATTATCGTTCTTACATCCATTCACTCAGAGAGTCCGTATCTACCTCCCTACACACTCGTGTGTGCTGATGTACTGTCCATGTATGTGCATGTAAATGTACACACACCACACGACACTCCCCCAATCTTTCCTGTAACTTATGCATTTCAGTGGTGGGCCAACGCCCAACGCTGGCTGGCAGCACCTTCTCCTTTGCTGCACATCCTTCCATTCTGCCCCGCGGTGTGCGCAGTGTCACCCACCCTGACGTGCTAAAGGGGAGGGGATGAGGGAGCCCAGTGCGTGCGACTCGATCGGACATTCCTGCGTGGCTCTGGCCTCCGCTCATCGTTACCCGTCAGCACCCGCGGGAGCCCAGACTTACACCTTCTTCCTCTCCACCACGCCCAGCCGCACCAGGGCTGCCAAGGCATTTTTCTGTACGTCCGAGGACAGCACGTCGTAACACTGCGAGGCGCCTGCAACAGAGGGGAGGCGTGAGGGGCCGCTCTGTTCCCAGCGGAGGTGGCCAGCAGCCACAGGCGGGACTGACCTTCATCGAGGAGCTGGCTGGTGAACGTCCTGACCCGAGCCAGGTACTCCTTCTCCGTGAAGCAGTCTTTCTCCTCCTCCAGGAGGTGTCTGCAAATGATCTGCATGGAGGAGGACGGGGGGCTCAGGAAGAGGCAAAGGGCGGCCAACACGCAGCGCAGTGGACAGTCCCACGCCCCCTGCGGAGCCGAGGCGGCACCCCGAGCGTGGCCGCCGCACGCAGAGCCCTGGGCACACGCGGGCTGCGGGTGCTTTTCCTTGTTTTTGTTTAGTTTTTTCTTTTTAGGCTCCGGGATTCTCAGGAGCGCTACTGAGCTGCTATCACTGCTCACAGGTAGGAAACAGGCTGCAGTAGTGTGGACACTGATTGAAACAGACTTTCTCACTTTCATGGTGAAGTTAAGTTCATTTACCTTGTGCTGCTAGGAAAAGAGGGGCCAGGCTTTTGTAATTTTTTTTTCTCTAAAACCTGCTAGACCCTAAGATACTTGATGATTTCTACCAGGAAAGGTAGAGACAGAATTTATCCAGTAGCTAAGGGCAGGGCTTTTATTTTTTTATTTTATTTTTTAAAAAATATATTTTATTGATTTTTTTACAGAGAGGAAGGGAGAGGGAGAGGGATATAGAGTTAGAAACATCGATGAGAGAAACATCGATTTAGCTGCCTCTTGCACGCCCCCTACTGGGGATGTGTCCGCCAACGTGGGCATGTGCCCTGACTCAGAGCAGGGCAGGGCTTTGAGCACGGAGGCCGGCAAGGGCCACCTCCCTGACCGCAGCAGCCTCGCCGGGCAGGCGGCCGTGCCCTCAGCAGTGCTGAGCTCAGAGCCACAGACAGGCGGGGCCTCTAACGTTTCCATCCCCAACAACCCGCCTCCCCTGCATGCGGCGCTCTCCCTGCGGACGTGCACAGCAGCCCCTCCTGACTCGCTCCCGAGAGCTCCAACTTCAGCTACTTGCACTTGAACTTCTCCTTTCCCTTCCACTGACTGTACCAGGCAGACCTTGCGTTTACTAAGTGCCGACTGGGTGTCAAACGCCGCGCTACAGACTGAACCCACACTGTGGGGCAAGCATGGCAACACCTGGGCGAGGCCGTGGTCACAGGAAGACTGTGCCACTCAGCGGTCCTCCCGGTCTGATGGGACCCAGCCGCCGCCTGTACGCAGGGAGCAGGGTCTCTCTCCCCTCGCGGGCGAAGCCCCTCATCCCAGGATCAGTCTCCTGGTCTCCCGGGCAGCTGGGGAGACACCTGTCCTTCAGGCCAGAGTAGTAGCGGGTGGGGATCTTAGATGCAGCTTCTGGAAGTCACATACCTGGTAGCACTCCACAAACGGCCTGAAGAGTTCTATTAAAAACTCGAACACGGGCTTTCCCTCCTCTATCACTACAATGTCCTTCGTTGTCACCTGAATGGTCTCGCTTTTACAGAGCAGGTAGCAGCCTTCTTCAAAGTCCTGGGGGGGGGACAGACGGACCCGCTGAGTGAGGACGCGCCGCCTGTGCGTGCAGCCGGGGCGCAGAGCCGAGACGCCAGCTCAGCCCCTCCCGAGGCTCCGGCTGTTACGCGGTGGCCACGGAAGCACTGGTTCCAAGACTCAGCCCGAGAGGCACCACCTGGGTGATGGCTTTTCCTCCCCTTCGCGGACACGCTCCTCCGAGAGGAGGGCACAGCAAGTCCTAGAACCTCAGGCCTGACAGACGGACCCGCTGAGTGAGGACGCGCCGCCTGTGCGTGCAGCCGGGGCGCAGAGCCGAGACGCCAGCTCAGCCCCTCCCGAGGCTCCGGCTGTTACGCGGTGGCCACGGAAGCACTGGTTCCAAGACTCAGCCCGAGAGGCACCACCTGGGTGATGGCTTTTCCTCCCCTTCGCGGACACGCTCCTCCGAGAGGAGGGCACAGCAAGTCCTAGAACCTCAGGCCCTATGCGCCAAAGGCCCCGCCCCCTCTCCGGAGTAGTGCCCAGAAAGCCCACCCCTCTCTCCCGGGCTCCCCACCCCACACTCAGCTCCAGCCTGGTCCCTCACCAGCTGCTGCCCTGCCAGGCAGGACCACACTCTCTGCTCTTAAAGCAAAAGGCTCCCTCATGCCAACAGCTGTTACCAGGAACAGGCGTGCGGGTTGGTAAACTTCCAGCAAGCTCAAGTTGATTGATTTGCAGTAGCTGCACTAACCGTTTAAAGAATGACCCTCTTCTTACCAAATAATCCCTGTTATTGATAAATTTAACCCAGAATCGAACTGGAGTTGGCTGACTTTAAGCCGAAGGGAGGGAAGACCCGTCTGTGACGGTGCCCGGCCTCCCCAGGACTCGCACTGCACGCGCTCGCTCCTTGGCGGCAAAGATGTACCTTCACTGCGTTTCCCGGAAGGAAGATGAACTCGTCCGACAGGACATCACGCAGGAAGCGGAAGGAGCAGTAGACGTCCTCTGGAAAGGCATTCGTTGCAGAAAATCAGCACCTGGGAGTGGCGAGGAGTCCAGGACACTCCGAACGCAGCTTCCGAGGCACGTTCCCGCCCTCGGGGATGAGAGGGGAGGCCCCAACGAAAGCGACCCCCAGCCCCCTGTGCCCGAGCGCCAGCTGCGCCCCGCACTTCCAATGGTGACTCTAGACGGCAACCAAGCCTCCGTCCAGGGCCGGGGCACCGCTTCCTGCCGAGGGCCACGTGGAGATTAACATCTTTCTCAGGCCACACAAACTCACCCGCTGGAGTCAGCCCGTCGTTTGGTCAGACGTGTCATCAACCGCCCGTGCGGCCTTGGCAGGGCCAGACCAGAGGATCTCACAGGCCTGCCCAGCCCCCGCTGGACGTCCCCACCCCTGCTCCAGGCAGGCAGTCTGGGCTGAGAAGCCCCACTGCTTAGACACGAGGGACCGTCCCTTTACCGACCCCGGCAGAGGAGAGAGATGGTTTCTTCATCCCTCTACGCCCCTGGTTCCACCCTTCGCACAGGCATGCACGCGACACACTAACAGAGGACTCTCTCTTGTTCTCCTGACACGTAGCGCCACCCGCCCGCCACCCAGAGACGTCCTGTCTGCTGTGCCGTGAGCGCGCTCAGGTCCTTCCAAGTCCCCAGCTCCAGGCAGATGGGCGTGTATTCAGGGACAAACCTAACTTCCGCGTGCACGGGCCCCGCTCCGGGCTGGGGTGTGGGCTGCACAGGTGGGAGGAGGGGTACGAGGCCCAGTGCTGCTCCCTACACAGCACGGAAGGGCCAGGCCTCCTCCCCGGTGCTGCTCCCTACACAGCACGGAAGGGCCAGGCCTCCTCCCCGGTGCTGCTCCCTACACAGTGCTGCTCCCTACACAGCACGGAAGGCCAGGCCTCCTCCCCGGTGCTGCTCCCTACACAGCACGGAAGGGCCAGGCCTCCTCCCCGGTTCCAGACCACGTTCCCGAGTTACCTTTCCTGCCCCCGCCAGCCACCTGCAGCGCCAGAGCCACCAAGGAGGGCCGGACGAAGACGTTGAGCAGCTGGTTCCTGTAGGCCGAGCACATGAGCAGCGTGATGTGCTGGTAGATGAGGCCGTCCACCACCTCCGAGTCCCTGGCGTCCACTTTCAGAGCCACGCGGTCCCTGTCGAGGCTGACGATGTTGGAGTGCAGGAGGAGGCTGGCCTGGATCACCTCGTCAGCGGGTTCATTGTCTACACACAGGACAGTTGGTTCAGGCCAACGGCGAAACGCAGGTGGGGTCCCTGCTGGGGGCCTCAGGCCTGCGACGCAGCGGTGCTGGGGGTGTGGCCTGTGGACTCAAAGGCCGGGTGCTGGCGTGAGGTTCTAGCAGCCGAGCAATGACCCCTACGTACCGGGCCACATGAGGAAGCCCCCGAAGGCCAGGGTTAAGCCCTTCAGCCACAGCGTCTTCTCCATCAGGGCGTCGAAGTCCATGGCCGGCCGGTGCTGCAGCAGGACGGTGGCCACCAGGACCCACGGGCTCAGCACCAGGTTCTGGATCTGCAGGAGCTGCATCCTGTAGGCGACCTCAGTGACAAAGGCTTGCGTGTCCTCCGACTGCTTCTGAGGGATGTACCTACAAGGGAGAGACAGAAGCAGTTACAGACAGAAACTCACCCCCGTTCGTGACACACAATCCTTTCTGGGATCCAGTCACACTCAGCACACCCCATGCGGGTCCACCGGGTCCATCCATTCGCTGGCTGGCACCCCTGTAGCTCTCCCCACTTTTAAGATAGTCGGGTGCTGGCTCCCCTGAGAAGAGCGAACAGTCTGCCTGCGTATTTGACATATACATCCTACAGCTAATCGTTTCTGCCAAGCATATAATTCTTCTTTGAGGCTTTCCACTTCCCTGATGCATGACCTCAAATAACCACATTTGTAGTCAAGAATCACCATTCAGCCCGGCCGGTGTGGCTCAGCGGTTGAATGTTGGCCCAGGAACCAGGAGGTCGCCAGTTCAATTCCCTGTCAGGGCACATGCCCAGGTTGTGGGCTCCATCCTCAGGAGGAGGCAGGAGGCAGCTGATCCATGATGTTCCTCTCTTAGTGGCATTTTTCTCTCTCTATCCCTCTCCCTTCCTCTCTCTCTAAAAAATCAATAAAAAGATATTTTTTAAAAAGTCACAATTCACACTTCCAGCTTTTCATCCCTGTTTCTAACGCGGTTATGAAAACACCAGTCTTGCACCTTGGGACCAGGTTATACGGGCTTCGGCTCAACCTCCCAGCTGCCAGAGATCGAAGCGACACGGGGTCTCCGAAGTACACGTGGATGCTGCCAAAGTTTTCCGAGAGAATCCTCCTGGCTTTCAGCAATCCCTAACAGCATCGCAACAGGGGGAGGAAAACCAAAGAAGCAAATGAGGAAACTGGCTGAGCTGTAAGTGAGCATTTCCCCTAACTCCCAATAAACGCAGGCGTGGCCATCCTTTACGTACGGTCGTCGATTCCTTTGGCTTGGGCACCCCTAAAAGCTCATACACATAAAGGGTTTCTTCCAGTATCTTATCATAACTGATGCTAATTGGAACAAGGTAGGTGTCAAAAACTTCTCTTTTGAAAAAAGGTTCCATCACAATATTCAGCAGACCTGCAAACAAAGGGAGAAACGGCCTTCAGGTATATATACCCCAGTTTGGGGGCTGGCCTGTGGATTCAAAGGCCAGGTGCTGGCGTGAGGTTCTAGCAGCCGAGCAATGACCTTCAGGTATATATACCCCAGTTTGGGGGCTGGCCTGTGGATTCAAAGGCCAGGTGCTGGCGTGAGGTTCTAGCAGCCGAGCAATGACCTTCAGGTATATATACCCCAGTTTGGGGGCTGGCCTGTGGATTCAAAGGCCAGGTGCTGGCGTGAGGTTCTAGCAGCCGAGCAATGACCTTCAGGTATATATACCCCATGTTTGCAAACACGGCACGTGCACAGGAAGACGCTAAGTGCACAGGACACACTATGCCCATAAATACAAGCAGTTACGCTTAAAGAGTTCCCCTCATAAAGAAAACAGTATCTTGCAGAAAAGGCGCCGCCGAAACCGGTGTGGCTCAGTGGATAGAGCGTCGGCCTGCGGACTGAAAGGTCCCAGGTTCGATTCCGGTCAAGGGCATGTACCTGGGTTGCGGGCACATCCCCAGTGGGGAGTGTGCAGGAGGCAGCTGGTCGATGTTTCTCTCTCATCGATGTTTCTAACTCTCTCTCTCT